GATTCAGTACAGCTGGGTGAAGAGGAGTGCAAACTCATTTGCGGATGGGTTGGCCAAGCAAGGAGTGAATAGGGAGGCTGTTTTTTGGGCTAGTTTTTAATTTTCTTTGCATTCCCTGTGTTTTCTGTTTTTGGGGAGCTAAGTTATTTTATCTCCCTTTGTATTCTTTTCCCTCTCTTCTCTTAATTTAATGAAGTTGATGTTGTTGATCAAAAAAAATATATATCCCTGGAATAAAAGAAGAAATGCATGCTTGGTTGATCATGCACTAACACCAAGTAAAAAAGGGGAAAAACAGAAAGGGAAGGAAAGGAAAAAAAATAGGGGTGGAGTAAAAATAGCAAGCACTGGCACATCAGAATTTACCATTGCTTCCCTTGCTGTAAGCCTCTCCTGATGATCATAACGAAGGAGTTTGTCAAGAAAATCAATGGCCTGCATGTCATACAATAATATGACCCTGAAAGAGTCAATAAATATAGAAACCAAAACATAATGAAGAGAAAATAAATCTGGATGTTTTTTCAACATGCTCAAAATGTATGACCTCTGGAGAAACTAGATGCTGATTATCTGCATTAATAAATTTTGACCAGGGCTTCCTGCTGTGCCTGCAAAAATAATTACCCAAAGCATGCCAATTAATGATATGGGGGTAAGGGTTATTTGTTGCATTTTTATTAATTTATTTAGTGGAGCAGCTTGAATTAGCTGATTAACTTGACTTCTGAATAATGCAAATATCTAACTGAACCACAGCGTTTGTTGAACTGGAATTCCATGGCCAGAAAAAAATTATGTTTCATGTCAAGCATACCTCCCAACAAGAGCATCAAGTTGGGGATCAAGCTCTAGACGATATTTATTCAAATATGCATTCAATTCATCTGTCCCAAGTACCTGAAAAAAATATAAATCTGAAATCAAACTACGATTTGTGAGAACATGTAATTGTTAACCAATTTGACTTGTGCAACCAAGGGACTATAAAAGATCCAGTTGGTAGTTGAAGGCAAACCTTTGTCTATTGGTAGTCTTTGAAAGTGATCTTATTTTATTTTGTACAAAATCCATTCTTGCATTTCTACTTTTCAATACATTGTTATTTATTGGAACTTATAGGAGCCTACTGTACCCATCATACATTGACCAGATGGTTGCCAGTATGAAGTACATAGATGTATCTGTTATAAACCAATATGTATCTATGTTGATGAATACCAACCGTCCACATGCTCATCCTAACAATAAAGTTGATGGTAGTTCTGGTACCAATACTAACATATTAAAATTGATCAAGCAAATCATATTAAGATTCCAATAGCAAAGCCCGCCAAAAAAAAAAAAAGATCTTTCAAAAGGGTTTAACTCTATATCAGACACCTTTTTTGATCGGGAATGCCATGGTTCCTAACTTCCCATATAGATAAAAAGATTACATGTTACCAACTAAACGTTCAATAAAGACATTGTTTGATGTGTTTACTGATATTTCCTACATCAGTTACATGGCAAAACATGGTTCTCAACATGCATTTCATTCAGTATGATAACACAAGTGAAATAGTGAATGCAAGTAATTGTGCAACAACCCAAACCTCATACAACCAAGACAATATCAAGCTAAGGGATTTATTGGGCACCTAGTTTCTTTTTTTCCTTTTTTTTTTGTATGTATGTGTGCATATATTTTCTTTGTTGAGGGGAGTAGCCATGGACCAGAATATCACCTTGGCAATTTTGACAAGCTGATCATGGTTATCATGACCATAAAAGAATGGTTCCTTGCGAAATATCTGCAAATAGCATATCCAGCATATGTCAGCTTGGTAATTAAGCTGGAGGAAACTAGGAAACTACATAAATGACTATTCAAGTGAAAATTCACTACAAGTAGACCCCATGGTCATAGTTTAGCCTTGAATACAAGGCTCACAAATCACAATGCCTGCAACAGACTCACCATTCCTGCAAACATGCAGCCAAGGCTCCACAAGTCCAAAGAATAGTCATAATCTTGAAGATCAACAAGGAGTTCAGGCCCTTTGAAGTATCTGGAGAAAATGAATGCAGTTGTTAGCTTCCGACAAATAACTTCCAACTAGTTGGGCACATTTAATTTTTTTTTTATAAATGACTTCAAATTTTATTAGACTTATAGTAGTAAAAACATTACAAGCATCCCTTAGAGAGGCACAAGATGCTACCTCTCTATATTAAAACAAAGACGAGTTACAATTGAGCCCAGGACAAATGAGTCCTATTCACCCCCTACTTGGCTAAAGCATCTGCCATCCCATTTGCCGATCTCCTCACCCATTGTATCCTCAAGTTCATTCCTGGTAATCCATTTTTTTTCATTTCACTCCTGTAGCACCATATTATGGATTCTGGATCCTTTAGCCATCCCACCACCAATTTAGAGTCCCCTTCAATCACCACATCCTCTATATTCAATTCATAAGCAATTTGCACTCTTTGTACTGCAGCAAGAAATTCCGCTTTGAGAGAATCACTCATACCCACAAGGCTAGGAAACATCGCTATGAGTTTAGCTTCTAGATCTTGCAAGACCCCTCCTATACCAAAAGGGCCTGGATTACCTTGACTGCTCCCATCAAAGTTCAGCTTCACAAAGCCATCAGGCGGAGATAGCCAAGCAACACTCATTCTTTCCTTTGCAGAAGAGCTTCTAGCAACCACTTCCCAATTTCTCCAGACATCATCAAAGGAGAACTGAGAAAACAGCTCCAGAGTTTTGATCCAATGGAGCACCCTGACCAACACACAACCCTTAACCTCTTCCTCGGTTCTTTCCTTCTCTAAGAAGATTCTCGCATTCATTTCTTCCCAAATGGTCCAAATCAAGGATATTCTCACACATCTCCACATTCTTCCCCTCTTTTGGGGTAAAGTAAATGTAAAAGGATAAGATAGCATATTAACCTCCATTGGTAGCACCTGCACCCAAACAAGGAAAAAAACCAATTCCAAATAGCTACAACAAAGGGGAGGAACAATGAATTTTGAAATATGCTCATTTTTGTAATAAGAAACCGAGTATAAGGAGGGAAAGAGATCATTTAATGGGAAAGAACCAACCCAAGTATCCTCCCAAAAAATAACAGATCCCCTAAACAAAGATCATACCTCACAAAACAGAGGAGATGAGGCAGAATGCCATGACTAGCTTTGCACGGTGATGCCAAAGTAGCCCAGTTGGATACACTTGCATCCCAACCATTCCCCAACCTACCATGTATATTAGCTATTACTTCATGTCATAGCCTATCCCTTTCCAACAGCCATCTCCATAACCTCTTCCCTAACAGAGCCATATTATTTTTGTCCAAACTCCTAACACCCAACCCTCCTTGTAAACTTCTACAAACAACCTCCCATCAAAATGATGTTTCTTGTATTTGGATGGTGTTCCCACTTCAGTTGTCCTATGTGGCACCCTATCAGTGTATACATGTTTGAAGCAATAATAAACTATTTTACACAGTGTTTCGTGCCAAAACATAACACTTTCTCAATTCCTGATGTCGTGATTTAGGTTTAAGCATTTTAATTAAAATACCACGGCACTGATAAAAAAAATACATAAATATCATGGTACCAAAGATTATATCATAGATTGTGCATAGCCATTAATCAGAGGCATTTGGTTAACCTACTTTACATTTTTATCAAATAGGCATGTACTACTCCTGGCTATCCATATGAGAAGGTAAAACAAGTAATTATACTTTTTTTAATTGGCAACATGATCAAAAGCAATTTGTTAGTACAAGAGAAAAAGAAAAAGATGTAATATAACAAGAAACAGTACCTCAAAAAACCACTGAACTGGCAATCTTGGCCCCCTCATATGTCTAAGGAAAAAACTATGAAGTCAAGGAACGACCCCTATATATCATCTCTATACCCTCCAATGCTACCTAAAAGCCAGCTAGATCATTAGAAGGATCTTGGCACCCAAACAAAAATATTTATTCTGGGAGATAAGCATCTTCCTTTTAATATGATGGCAGAGATACCAGGGACAGTCAAACCCACTAGCACCTGAAAATCCCCCCAACCTCAACCTTAGAGAAGCTTATGGTGGAAGCACCAACATCTACAAAATCAGAAGGGACAAAATGTCTGTCCAAAATTATGGTGGAAGGACCATGACCTATGGGTCCTGACTCTTTGAGAAAACCAGGAGGATCTCCTCAGAAAGCACCTACCAAAATTAAGCTTGATAACTCCAAGGAGAGGAGGAAGCCAGTTCCCCAGGATAGTTTCTCGCTCTTTCTGGATCTCAATGATGATGCACAGCAAACCAACCCCACACTAAATCATCAATGGCTGATTCATTGAATAGGTTACTGTTATAAAGGCATAAAGCAAAGACTAGAGTAATATGTGCAGATCTCCCATGACTAAACATTCAAACGAATTGCTTGGCAAACAATTTTGGCTTCATTTTCAACATAGCTAGATCCAAACAAGTTGCATAAATAAACAAAACATTCTCACTCATGATTATCATCATCATCCAAGCCTCAATATAGAATACTAAGAAACAAAAACTTAACCAACCTATGCACATAAAACCGGAAAGAAAAACTAAAAGGAAGTCCAGTCCATGCTAGTCTGCACCCTTTTAAGTATGGACTTGATTTCAGTATTCCCATTATTAAAATGGCATGCTGGGTTTCAGGAAATATCATTCATTTTGCATCATTTGAAGAATGAAATTCAGAATCAAAAGATTCAAAGTTATCATGTCCAATACATAAACTTGGTGATTGATATCACTAATAAGACATGCTCTTTATGCAACCAAGGCGATCATCCCAAGTAATAATTCAAAGTCACAACCTACCAAAACAATAGCCATTGTTTAGAAAACTGAAATGGACCAGCTGGTTGGACCGATTGAGTAGTGACCCAGATCCATGGCCAGTTCGATCGTACCCTGGAAACCATAATTTATGAAAAACCAACTGACTGGCCACTTTAACCCGAAAACCAATGAACCATCTCGGTTTTATGAAACCACCCAGGTCACAACATGAATAGAAACTTCAAAATAGTAATAACAAGACTTGAACCCAAGACCTCTTATTTATGTGCATTGTCTTGCTACTATTAATCCATCTCTTTATTTGCATTTATTTGTGCCTTTTTAATGTATATTTTGCTTTAATACACAAATATTTTAAAGAAAATGTGAGTTAAGAGACCTGAACCCTGGTTATTTATTTTAAAATCTTTAAAACTAACCATCTATCCACCACATGCAAGCGTACAATATTTGTAAAATATATGAAACATAGTATTTATATGACCTACAAAATATAATGCATAATGCCACATCATCACAGTTCAACCTGCAGTTTGACTACGGTTGAACCTCCCTTTTCCAATTCTATGTCCGGTCTGGTTCTCTAAACATTGATAATAACAGAAACAACAGCGATTATTACAATTTAGCTATGATATACAGATACCTGAACATGCCTAGAGTACCAGTATCAGATACTGCTTTCTGCATATATACTTATAGGTATACTTTTTAGCAGAAACATTTTTAAAATATGTAAATGGTATGCTTTAACAAATTATACTATAAAAAATCCGCACATTTTAGAAATTTAATTAAATTTGGCAAAACACAAGTCTTGAAAAAAAATGGCATTGTAGATTTAAAAGCTAGATATAAGCATATTACATAGTATAGTTGTACCTGTATCCACGTCCTTGTCCATATCCATATCTATGCATCAAAGCAATTCAGTATACATTGTTGGTTTAATGTGAAATATGTTGGATTTTAAACATATTATACTATCTACATATAGATCCATCTGGCTATAATCAATGAAGTTAGAAGATAGCCACCAGAATACTAAACATTGAAAATTATAGCAGATGCTTAATACAATATGATAACCAAGTTTTGGTGGATAGCAGATAGTTTAGCTCCATTACTTGTATTATTTTAATGTAATTGTCTCCGCTGCTTTGCGCAAAAGAAATGCCAATGGTATTTATTAAAAAAAAAAAAGGAAGAAGAAGAAGAAATGCCAATGGTTAGGTCCTTATCCAGTCTACCCATCCCAAGACTCCCAAGTGGCTGGGACCATCATTGGGTGATAAATGTTTCTGGTTGAACTTCTCCTTGGAGAGGTTTGGGTTTTAGTGTCTCCTCTTAAGCAACTAGACAATTGTATCTTCATTCAGATTTACTTGCCCTTTGATCTGGTCATTAATTAAAAAGAAACATGTTAACTCTTTGTGACAGATCAAGACTTGGAGTTCCACCCCTTGTCGCCATTCTCTTAGAAATTAGATGGTTTAAGTTACTCAAGCTGAATCGTTAAGAGATGGATAAACAATAATCATGTTGGGAAAGACTATCTTACACAAGATACAAGGGAAGATAAACAACCACATAAGATGAATACCTAGAAGCCACACGGACATTATATTCCTTTCCAGGATGGTAGAATTCAGCAAGACCCCAATCTATCAATCGGAGTTTTCGCAGCTCATGGTCTATCATAACATTATGAGGTTTGACATCTCTATGCATAATTCCTTGAGAATGGCAGTAATCTAATGCCTGCATTAAAAAAAAAAAAACAACCAATAAGCATATGCCACTAAGTGTGATAAACCATTTTCTCATATGCAGAAGTGCATTCATATGAATTTAAGAACCTCAATTGAATCAAATCAACATAACATAGAAATACAAAGAATGAATGGCCCAATAAAATATCAAATATATGCATCTTTTAGAAGTCCACAAAACCTTAAAAATAACTAAGTTAAGCAATACTAAAGTGACTGCTGAGGGGAAGAGGTTTTCTGATGAGCAAGAATAATGGCAGAGGAGTTCCTTTAACCACCATGCATGCATATGTGTCACTCTACTGAGCCACCTAAGATGCATCTCACCTCAAACACCCAAGAATTAAAATGTCAGTGTTGGTGGAAATATCAGCCACCCAAACCGGGTCACAACATCATATGGATATTGTCAAAAGTATAGAAAATTAGAAATGGTGGAAACATTGTAAAACATGCAGAAATATACAATGATATTTTATGAAATGATAAAATAAGCATAGGTACACCATTTTAGATTATTAGCTTGTTCCAAACCATCAAACAAAGCCAAGAAACCAAAGTCAATAGATGAAATAATACATTGCGACTTGTGATGTTACCCTATTGGCTTTAAGAGAGAAAACCATATAATAAACTAAGTTCTAGCAAAATTTTAACTCACAGAAAGTGCATATCATTCTAATAGATCAACCACAAATAAAAACCAAGATTTGACATCATGTCAAAAAAGAATTTCGATCAGGCTTTAAGTAGTCACATATGATATTGTTGCCAACTCGTTATGTTATAATACCATCTCACATACTCCACATAGTACTGGTAGTTTTCACTTGGGAATATGTCAATCCTAGTAATATCCCATGTTGTCATCCATGGAAATAGAAATTATGTTGTGGAAATATTAGGAAACATATCAACTTCCACACCTGGAGGAATGGAAAACCTAAGATGCCCAGAATTGAAAATGGAAACAAGGAATATGATTCTCCATTCCTTGAGAACCAAGAGACAAATATGGGTATATGCGTTCCATTTGATATGTTAATTTCATGCTTCTACATTTAGTTTCTTCTTTTTTCTTCAAAGTATCAATTCTTAATACTATCATCTTGCCACTTAGCATCTAAACATTTTGTATAACATGATTTGTTAGCAAATGACATTTACATGTTAGGACTTCCATAAGTATATAAGCACACATGTAGTATTTGGTGTTGAGTATCCAGGTAAAAGTTCCTATCCAAACCATGCTTATGGTAGAAATGGTGGGAAAAAAATGGATTCTACCTTTTGGAATCACATCAATATCAACAAGCCTGTTACAAAAGGTGTGACGACCAAAATTCTGGATAAATAATGTAGAACCAAATATCATTAATTATATGTGCCTATAGCTTATAATAAGACTAGCTTGATGAAATTTTTGCTCCCTGGAAGGAGTAAATATTTGAAGCTTACTGGATCAATCCTAAAGGCTTCTCTCATGCAGCAAGGTGAAAATATCCCAGCAGAAAAACAGGAAAGCTAATTTTGGATCTGTCTTCTAGGAAAGAGATTATCTTTCATACTAGTGGTGGCAACATAGACATCTCATATTCCTTATTTCTTCTGTTACTTTTCTTGCTGAATTGTGTTATCTCCTATATATTTTCACCCTACTCCAAATACAGATTAGATTATCTGTACAATTTGGAGCCAAATATAGTCTTAGAAGTGAAAAGAAATGTGGAAATGCAGGAAAATTAATAAAATACAATTAACAATAGAATAGATAAGAAAGAAACCTTGAGGAGCTCATATATGTAGTAGCGAATGTCATAATCTGTCAGTGTGGGGTACAAAATCTTAAAATCTGTACTGTTCACATATTCAAATATCAAGCTAGGAGTCTTCGAGTGCTGATCTCTGACAATATCAAGCAACTTGACAATATTTGGACCACCACAAAGGTTCTGAAGTATTTTTATCTCCCGCTTTATCTGCATGAAAGAATAATGTAATAATTATGTCAATGTACTATACTGTTCACTGTTTTAAAAGCGCAAGGCGCAAAAAAAGCGCAAGGGCCAATTTATGCCTAAGGCACAAGGCACAAGGCGCAAGGCGGGGCACGCGCCTTTTTGAAGCAAGGCGCAAAAACTAAAAAAAAATGTCAGAAATTTCAAAAAAAGCAAAAAAAACAATCAAAAAAAATATTGAACATAATATTAATAAAAAATATAAACTTAAAATTTAAAATAAATGTTTTAAAAAACCTATGTCTAAAATTAAAATACATAAGCATAACATGTAAAGCGTATCCAAATGAAAATTTAAAAATAAAAGCAAACATATAAAGCATTTTCAAGCATGTAAAACCCACAATCTGTTTTTTTCATTAATTGCATTACTTCAATTAGCTAATGTGATGTAAAACATATTGCACTCTTGATTCTACAAGTTGCCTTTGTACCATGCCCCTCAAGGCAAGCCCGAAGAAGTCCATGTTAGGGGGTTCTCGGACTTGCTCGGGCTTGCCTCGAGGGGCGTGGTCAGGGATCCGGGGGCAGAGCAAAAAGTGCATAATTTTAAAAAGGCACATCAAGCGCACCAGGTATGCACCTTTTGAAAGGGGCGTGTCTAGGACCTGAGCGAGACGCATACCCTAAAATGCGACCCACTTGTGCACCTAGGCATGCCTTTTAAATCACTGATACTATTTAACAAAATTAATAAAAAGATTTTACATTAGAAGCTAAAGAGCATAGGCAATGCAATAGGGCATTACAAGATCAACAAAACGAGATGGTTACTTCATAGAAGGTTATCATTTTGGTAAAGCACATATCACAAAATAGGATATCTCCAAAAGATAGTAATATATGATCTAAAGATTAAAAAAAGAAGACCAAGATTGAAAAATAATCATAAAGCACCATAAATTAATCTGCTCTGTTCTTAGTTGAGCGTCACGCCAACTGCTCACCTACTAGTAGATGTGCTCACACAGGACAAGTAAACACCAACTAGGTTGACTAACAACTATCCTATCCAACTATAAAGTTATTTAAGATAATATCATATATGCTTTTATTTTAATATACATGCTAGTTGCTTTAAGCATTTGTGATGGCACATAGTAAATGAGTTAAAGTTTGAGAGAGGCCACTTTGTGCAAAAAATGCCAAAGGTTGGGTCCATACCCAGTTCACCCCTCCCAAGATGCTAGGTATCTAGGGCCACCATTAAGTAATGGCTCCCGGTGTGGAATTACCACAAAAAAGGGCCACATTAACTGGTCAAGATTTCACTTTGTTTAAAGAACAAAAAGTGGATCTGCAGCCTTTTTTTTAAAAAAAAGGTAAGAAATATATTCATTACTATAAGAGAAACAAAAGTATTACTAGATAATTACATAGAATTAAATATAATATGGTTTACAAATTATCTACAGAATATCACATGGTCATCAACAGAAGATATGATAATACAAATATATGGGACAGATGAAAGTGTCCTAGAAGAATGTAACCACAGTTTTTTTTTTTTTGATGAATAAGAAAGTAACCACAGTTGGGGCCATAAATATCAAAGAAAGAGTATCAAGGCTATAAAACATAACCTCTACCAGAAAGCAGAAAAGTTTCCTCAAATAGCCAGTAGACAACATAATAATATCTACAAATTACCTTCTTTTTCTTGACAGGCTTAAGGATCTTGATGATACAACGCTCATTGCTAGTAGTGTTTATTCCTTCAAAAACTTCACTGTATTTTCCTCTCCCAACTTTCCGAACAACCTCATAATCATCCTGGTCACTGAGCAGGAATGTGAAAAGGAGTCACAAATATGTAAAACTCATAGCATTTCTTTGGTTTTCTCTTAAATTTGGAAAACAAAGACATTAGTTTTGTCCACAGCCTTCCACAACAGGCAATTTTCATAAGTTTGTGTAGGCCGGATAGCTTATACTATCCATCCACAAAAGCATGAATAGACAGCTGGATTAAGATACCAAAACCAAAGGCACATTGCCAAACTCAACAACAATGCTGCCAGACCAGGATCAGAATAGATGGTTGGACCATTTAAACCATGTTCCGGCAACTTTTATGAGTCTTATAACCCCACATATGTCAGGCTAACCCAGCCCATGGCAGCCTTACATGTATGTGTATATGAATATATCAGTACATATACACGTGTGCATAGCTGTCTACGTAAAATACAAGTATATATGTATATTTACAAGTGAGTCTACATTCCAGAGTTGAGAGATTCTCATTCCTAATATCCCATAACCATGTTTGAACATGACCCTTGTATCTGTGTCCACTGTTCAAATGTACATGGATCATATATTTTTTTCATTTTCATTTAGAGACTGTTATCTTCATAAAATCTCAGGCTGACAAGTGTGAGAATGAGGCTTCAAGTCTGAGTGAAGCCTCTTTGTGCCAAAAAGTTGCCCAAGGTTAAGTCTATATCCAGTCCACCCCTCCCAAGAACTCAGGTTGTTTAGCAGAACATTCATTTAGAGCTTCAGAAAGATTCAAGCTTAGTGGTGGACTAATTTTGAAGCACCCTTAGAGAAACCATGGGAGGATCAAATTCAAAGTTAATATGTCTACGTAAGGACTTAATGTAAAATCTCATGCTGATATGAGTAAGAATGCAGGTTCAAGTCCGGGAGCGGCAACTGTGCAAAAAAGTACCAAAGGTGAGGTTCACATCCAATCCATCCCTCCCAAGACCCCAGATAACCAGGACCAGCATTGGATGGCCTAGTTTATTAATATGTTTATCTATTTATCCAATACTAGGTTTCAATTAAAAGATAATACAACACTAATTGTTCACTGCAAAAGAATTTTAGATTATTAAATCAGAGCTTCATGTGTAAATGGTTCTCCAATAAGAAACATATATTGTTCGTTTTGGTATGGCTAACTATGAGGAATACAAGGATTTAAACAATCAAAATAAAGGAATATAAGAATTTATTTTCTGCTTAATTAATCTAACCAGAGTAAAATTTCAGTCAATGCGGAGATTCTATGCATAAATTATGTTGTGTACTTCTGTCATAGGATTCATGTATTGTCAGTCGAAGAGAAACTTACTGCAATCTATAGTGGATTAATGGCTCATTGGTGAAACTTCTCCAAATATAGAGAAATAGCTTCTTTATCTTGCTTTTTGAATACGCCCATAAATTAGTTATTTTACATAGACAATACGAAAATTCATGGTACCAGAAAAGATGACAAAAACAGTCCAAGTGCAACAATACAGCTCGTATTGCAATATTTTTTTTGATAGATAATGATAATGAAAATTTTATTAAATAAGAACTAAGTATTCATCATACAATTCCCCACAAAGAAGCGTGAGGTGCAGCCTCCAAACTACATCATAAAGTTTACAATTGAGCCCAAAAGAGATGATTCCTATGTACTCCTTGTTTAGCTAGAAGGTCTGCCAGCCCATTTGCCGATCTTCTTTCCCATTGAACTGTGACTGAAATACTTGAAGTCAGCCACTTAAATCTTCTCAAAGCCCCCCTGTACGACCAGGCTGCCGTCTCTGGTTCTTTTAGCCATCCAAYAACCAATTTGGAATCACCTTCAATCATTAAATGCTCCACTGCCAACTCTCTTGCATATTCTGCTCCTTGTAACACAGCTTGGAGTTCTGCATTTACAGAGTCTCCCCACCCTGTAGGACC